TTCAGTCGTGGACTGAACCAAAGCTAGCTATACATATGCATTATTCTGGGCTTTTATATCAGCTTCTAGATCCGAAGAAGGCCGGAGTCTAATAGCAGTTCGTGCTGCGACAATACTGTCTACAATATCCGCAGGCGCCGTGTTCAACAGGACGTTAAGCGCCAGTGTAGTAGCAGGGTTCCTACTGCTCCACTAAACGCTCTAGTTGTGTTACAAGTGTAGCCTTCTCTAGTGAATTCCACCAGACAAGGGCTCCGTGAAACAAGATATGCTACAGAGCTAATGTATTACTTTTGCGAGAGACCCAACCTTTTACCGATAGCTCCCCTACAGCAGAGCAAGGCAACCGGCGCATTTATTATGCTTTCCTCGATGTTAGGCTTCCGCGACAGCTTCCTATCCAGGAACAAGCTTAAGTAATTGACCTTATCTGAGAACCGCAGACCAACACCCCCACTCGAGGAAAAGCCACAACGGGTATCTTATACTTCCTGGTAAATAAGACCAGCTCCGTCTTGCTGCCGTTGATCGCCCACCTAGTTACCTGGTTCAGGTAACCTTGAGCTAGATCAAAAAGGGTGTCTAGAAACCGTTCCTTAACGAAAGTTCCACATCATCTAGAAGGTCGTTTACAACCCCAATCCAGAGCAGGGGAGAGACAACACCAACTTGCGGAGTGCCCCTATTGTAGAGCTGCAAAACTATCAATGGTTGGATTTGATATTTTCGATAGTTTTGGGTCTCACCATTCGATAGTATCGATACTATCGGTTAGAGATGCATAATCTTAAAGAAAAAAGTATTAGATCTTTACTATGGCATGATTACATTGGATATGGAAACAGGGAGGAGGGACACTTTAACAAGTTTTGGCTAATTTTATTTTGCGCATTTATTGTCCGAACATCCGAATCCGATCAAAATTCATAAAAATTTCGAGTTGTTTAATTAGGCCTCTTAGAAAAAGTTTGAGTATTTACTTGTGTAGTAAATTTAATTTTATTATAATAGAGTGCAAGTTTGAAGTAACCAGGGATTATCGATGATTTTTGGAAATTTTCGTTTATTGTTGAAGGTGTGGCAAATTTCTTTCCAAATACATAGTATGTATATTCGAACTTTTTTGTATGGAGAAAATTAGTGAATGAGAATGTACATACAGTGGGGAACAGAAATGACTACAAGGTGATTTTTGTTAAATATTTGCAACGTCTTTAAAGTAAATTTTTTTTGTTATTTTGTTCATAAAAATATGGTTAATGTTTTAACCAAAACCATATATCCAACATTCAAGCTTTACTTATACACAGCTTAGAAAAATTAAACAAAATTTCATTAAAGATTTAAATCAGCTTATTTACGTCGAATATAACCCCAGATTGTTATCAAAAATAAATACATATTTGTTTGTTTTCATTAAAGATTTGAGCTTTTTAATCTGACTTTGGTTTTTTTTAAAATTTATTTGAGTATGCAGATTTGTAGCCCATTATGAATTTTGACCAAATGAATATTAATAAAGAAAAAAACGCAACTCAAATTTTTCTTTAAGTACGTAACCTTCATCGAATAATGGAATAAAAAAGGTGATGATAAAAGATTTCCGATAGTATCGCGATAGTGAACACCATTCATCGACAGTGGTCACAAATTGAAACTATCGATAGTCCCATCGATAATTTTGCAGCTCTACCCTATTGACTCTGCCCCTCCCAGCTCCACCGCGACAGTTCTGTGACGAAGTAAAGGCCGATTTCATAATAACATTAAAGAATATTTTAAAATGTAAAGGATGCTTTATTTTTCTGATCGATTTCATCAATCCACTTCAAAGATAAAGGCGCCCATAAAGGCTCTTTAGTTAAACACCCAAAATGGAAATTTAAATGACATAAAGGTACCGCTTGTAAGAAAGATCAGCATTGCCAACTTTGTTATTTTCATTTAAATTAACCGTTTGTTATTACTCAATTGCCATTGCATTATGAAAACACTTCATGTTTAAAGTACATTTAAATTGCACTTTAACTAAAAGGAAACTTTTGTAAAAGGAATTTTAAGTGTTTCATTATGAAATTGGCCCTAAGGTGTAGATAATCCTTATTAGATTGGTTTCAACCCCCAGATTATGAATATACTAGAATATTGTCTCACATTGTTGAAGGGCGCCTGGATATCAAGGAAGCCCCGTACTACATAATCTTTATGCGTGAAGGCTTCCTTTAACCACTTTACCAATGTGTGCAGGGCGGTATCCACCGACCTTTCGCGTTTCCTATGTACAGGTCTATCAGTTTTTAGCAAAAACGAAGACCGACTGATAATCCTATTATCCCTAGGGAACGCGAGAGCCTTTTCCGGCGTTTGGGATGAACGCAACACTGACTACCCTACAAGCCTTGAGAATGTACCCCGTCCTCGCGCAGTTCGCATAAATAGGAGCCAACCAATTGTACGACACCTAAAGAGCCCTTTGCAGCTAGACAGGTAAGATCGCATCGGTCCCCGGTGACTTGAAGGGTTTGCACGAATTTATTGCCCAGGCCAAGTGACGATCGGTCAGAAGTACCGGACCTGAAGAACAAAATAGTGCAAAGAAGTACAATTGACTGTGCTTCGAAGTACGAAGTACAAGAGCTAAAAAATAATACTGTAAGTACTACCGAAAGAAGTATGGTTGGTCACATTAGCTATACTGTACTACCGAAAGAAGTACGGTTGGTCACATTAGTTATACTTAGATAACGGCTCTATCTAAATCTTTTGCATCCTATGAGTTTTTTTTGAATTCATATTGAAGAAATTTCATACATGGAAACTTTCAGAACAGATGAGAGGTTGTTGATTGGTAAAGTCCCGTTAACAAAAAACTTAAAAAAAAGTAAGTGCGCCTGGGCCATACTGGAGCAGGGAAAATTACGTTACATATCTAGTTTGTCTTATATCCAATATGCATATGCACATTAGGGTGGTCCAAAATAATAAAGTCGGAATTTTAATGCTCCTACCCACTAGGAAAAATGGAAAAAGTAACAAAGTCTAACCAGTAGAAATTATAGCAGATATTTCGGAGATCACCACATCTCCTCATCAGACTTCTTTTTCCTAGACTTCAGCAGAGATCGAACCCCCATCATCGATTTGCAAAGTCAGGAGCGTTAACACTGAGACACTGCCTTTCCGATGCAAAAGGAATTATCGAAATCGGTTGACGTGGTCCAAAGTTATGCGGTAACATACATAAAAAAAATATTCCGACGAACTGATAATCTCCTCCTTTTTTGGAACCATATCCAGCTACCGACATGCATTTCGACCCGCTGAATCCGAATCTAGGGCCCGTTTGAATTGTACACCCTCAATATTTCGAAAAAAATTGCAAAAAATTAAAATCTTGAGTGTGTACGAGTCAAACGGACCTCAGATTCGAAATCCGCGGGTCATTGGTAGGTGGTTCTGGTTAAAAGCACATACCACTTTTTTTCTGTGCCGGTGTTGAGTAAAAACTTGTGAAGTGGGCCACCATTTTTTCGAAGGTCCAACTTTTTTTGTGCAATTATTTGTTTATGCTTCACAACGATAAAAGAAAAATACAAAATTTCACAATTTTTCGAAATTCGAATTATTTTGGAAGTTAAAGCTATTAACATTTTTCGAAATTGTTTAGATTTTAATTGTTTCCTCACGATTGGTATACCGATTCTGCTCATATTTTAAACAGTTGAGAATGGTGGTATTTTCTTCCTATTTTTATTTTTTATTTGGCCATAAATTTTTTATAAAAGTTATTAATATTTTTCTAAATATCACTGACATTTCAATGGCTTTAATATTGCGTTTTGGGCTAATATGTTGTACTGTATTAGTAAATAACAGTATCGATTGTTTTATATCGATAACAATCCCGATAAAAGTATCAATATAAATATCGCTTATTATATTTAAAAAATATCCATTAATATATCGATAATAGAATTGATTATTATGTAGATAACAATATCGATAAGTGTATCGAAAACAACATCGATAACATCGATTTAGTCCCGAGAATTCCGAAATATGTGGGCTTGAAAATAATGATCTAGTCCCGAGAATCCCGAAAATCTCTAAGGTCCCGAAATATCTCAAAAACTAGTAAAGCGTTTGTAAAAGTTACAGTTTTAAGGAAAATTAAGACACCTTTCTTTTGGTGTGCATTCCTTGTACCTCGCGTTTCTAATTTCTGATAAAAATTGGTTTTTATAAAAAATATATGAAAAAATTCCATTTAAACTGCTTTTTCTTCAAAACTAGCCTTATCAGGATACTGTTGTCGTACTTTTGGTATAAAGAAAATTTATTTCCCTTTCGTTTGATATGCGCAAGTCTATACCCAAGTTCTCGGTGCAAATAAATTTTATATAAAATTTGTTTTCATAAACTTTTCAATGCTCTTCCGACTATGCCCTTCACACCATTTCTGCGCAGAGGGTGTATAACATAATCCAGGCAATAAAACATAAGCCATACATTGCTGACCGCCTTTTGCAGAGAACTTAGGGAGTAGAACTCTCCTTTCTGTGTTTGGCAAAGAAGAGGGACTGAACACCTTTTGCAGAAAACTCCTTTCTGCGTAAATAGGTGGCCTGCGGCCGCGCTTAGGGATTACATATAACCCTCATTAAATACAATTCTCCTTTCTGTGTTGCCGAAGAAGAGGGGCTGAACACCGTTTGCACAGAACACCTTTCTGCAAAGTAGTCATATGATACAGCAAACAAAAGAAAATCCAATAAAAATTTCAGAAAATATATTTATGGACTATGTTAATAAGGCGTTTTTTTTTGCGTATATTTTTATTTTGCCTCTTTTTTTCACAAATGTCTTCAACAAATTCACAAAATATGTATATCAAACGAAAGATGTTTAAAATACCTTTCGAACGTGGTGCCTTATTTTTTAAACGGTTAATTGGTTTCGAAGATATTAACAGTTTTTAACATCAAAATCTTCCACAATTTTTATTTCTGCAATATAAAATTTGTATATGTGTGCTTAGCATTTAAAACTGTATTAAACCCCGTTCCCCATTTTTCTTCTCTATCGAAACGGTGCGTATTCTTTACTTATGCCGTAGTTTTACTTCAAAAAGAAATTATGCTTATAACGAAGTTTTTTCAAAATTCAACACTCCATTGTATCAAGGTATTCATATTTTACAAATATAATGAAACTATCGATACAACAAAAGATTCGTCCAGCCTCTTTAACTTCGATATACATATGTATGTACATACATGTAAAGGTTTCACTATACATACATACTTACAATTGTTATATGCATTTATGTATGAGTAAATACCTGCAAAATACCAGCCATCTGACTTATTGTAGAACATGAAGTACGCGTCGACGACCACTCGCACATAAATCATCAAAAGTACGGCAATGATAGACATACCAAAAGCATTTCGAAAATAGTCGAGCATCTCATGAATTCGTTGAAAAACCAACTGTTTCTCGGCCAACTTCCGCCGCACAAAGTCTTCAAATCCGGCGAAAGGCACCACGCGACGAGCAAAATTTGTATACTCTGCCAGTAGGCCAACGTCGTTGCGCAGTTTCTCTAGTTCGTGTCGTATAATTTCAATATGAAATACAATTTGCATATTTCGCAAATGCACCAAATAAACGAACGGTGTGAACATAAACCAAAACTGCTGTGCCTGATCGGTTAATGGTTGCAATGAGAAGAAGATTACCTCGATGAGCAAATCTAATACCGTAATGCCATATAAAATGTAAAGAAAGTGACGATGTGTGCTTAACTGCACACGCCAATTACTTTCATTCGAGAGAAATTGTTCGGATTTAACTTGAGTTAGCAATGCATATCGTTGCCAAAAATGGCGCAAAGCACGTCGGCGCCATACTGTCTCCGTGTAAATGATTAAAATTGTCACTTGCGCCATGCACACCTTCAGAACATCGTTGAAGTAACCGAAGCGGTTTGTGGTGAAAAGAAAAGCATCTGGCCGAAAGAAGGTATTCACTGTAGTCAAGGAAAATATTAACAATAGTAAATTTGTCCAGGTTACAAGACGCTGCTCGGCGATCTTTTGCAACCTAGGCTGCGTTTGCAGCGAAGCATCAAAGCAACCGATTATCTGAAAGAAGCGTATATGAAAATGCACTACACCGGGAACTTGAATAGTCATTGTGACGCTTCAAATCGCAACTGAACCGCGAAGAAGTATGCATGCATAAAGTTTAATATTTGCAATGTCATTGAAAGAATGTCAAAGAATGATAAGTTGTTGGTTTAAATTAATGAAGGGAAGTGTTTTGAGCTGATTGTTTCAATTGATAACTCATAATAAATGTGTAACGAGCTACTTAATATTTGAAGCAATTAAATATGGATATATGCAAATATGTACATACTTATACTCGTACATATGTATGTATGCTCTTATGCACTAGCTTATACCCGCGGGTTTCACCCCACATTTTTAGCATAGTACTTAGACGAAAATTAAGTTAAATAAGTTATAAAACTTTATTATTGCTCTCAGTTGTTGTACCTATATCAAGCCCTAACCGCCAAAATAACATAAGCAACATTTTTTCAAAATTTTCATTTTGATGCAGAAATGCATCTAGATGCTCTAGGAATATTTCCGCATCAAAAAGAATATATTCTTTTGGCGGTTAGGGCTCGGATATTTATAAGCGAGTTTAGGTACATAAATAAGGCGTTTAAAGTTATGGAAATATAATATCTCGCCGGCATGGTAGACTTTGTTAAGGTAATATGATAGATACCAAGCTTAAAATGCTTCCGAGGAAATGCCGCGTGAATATGTAACTTTTCGGCAGGCGTCACGTGTGATTTTTAATATCTCCAACGCTACAGAGGTATAAGTCATTACAATTATAGCTTATATGGGAGGTACCACGTCCCCATTTCCATAAAGTGGCTATTTTCTCCATCAGTGCGGTATTAATAACATAACTCTTCACAAACAATTTTAGTACCCTACCTAAAATACTTCCAGAGAAATCCTGCAAAACAAAAAAAATAAGTTTATATGGAAGGTACCAGGCCCCCCCTCGCTTTTCTAATGACCTTAATTTTTTTTGGGTGTAGTCGTTGCGCTGTTTATGTAGTTACAGTTGCATGGCTTTACTCAATCCCGACTCTTGCGTCCTCGTTCGTGCACTCTGGGCAACGTGAGCAACCCATGTGCAAGATGCGGTAACCAATCCGAGTGGAGCCTTGGGTCACGGCAGAAAGAGAGGGTGCTTCGGTGGGGCCACGCCGACTTATTGGGTTTAAGAGCTCATTGAAGTCTGCAGCGTTGATTCCTCGTAAGGACAAAAGCTGACATTACCGTCTTGGATGACGGTTGGACGGGGCAAGGCAAGCAGAGCCTTGCGACGTCTACTACAGCTGCCATGTAAAGGAGCGCGAATTCGGAGTTGTTTTTGTGGTGGGAGAGAGACTCCGTCGCCGAGTACTGTCGTTCACCCTGGTGGAGCGTCTAGCCCCAATCCATATCAAAGCGAGATTCTTCAACATCTCGCTCATTTGCGCCCATACCCAGACGGAAGAGAAGGATGAGGCAACCAAGGATCTCTTCAATGAGCGCTTGGAGCGCACGTACGAGCGCTGCCTCCGTCACGATATCAAAATCGTGCTTGGCGACTTCAATGCCAGGGTGGGCAAGGAAGCGATCTTTGGAACCACCGTCGGAAAATTCAGCCTCTACGACGAAAGGTCCGACAACGGATTGAGGCTGATCGACTTCGCCGGGGCCCGAAACATGGTAGTATGCAGTACTACGTTCAAGCATAAAAAGATCCATCAAGCTACGTGGCTGTCTCCGGATCGAAAGACGAGAAACCAAATCGATCATGTGTGAATTTTACCAGAGGGTTAGGCGACTTACGGAAGGTTTAAAGACCGGGCGTACTCCTGTAAGAACAATAATGGCGACCTAGTAACTGATGCCCAGCGTGTACTTAAATTATGGAGGGAACACTTTTCCGCCCTATGAAATGGTAGCAGCACGAAGAGTTGTGGAGAAGAAGAAGATGACGGAGTCAACGTTCCACCGCCTGACTATGGCGAGGTACGTATAGCAATAACGCGGCTGAAAAACCACAAAGCCGCTGGAGCTGACAGCTGAGCTATTCAAGTACGGCGGCGAGAAGTTGATAAAGTGCATGCATCAACTCTTGTGCAGAATATGGGCAGATAAACGCATGCCCGACGACTGGAATTTAAGTGTGCTCTGCCCAATCCACAAGAAAGGTGACCCCTCCATTCGCGCCAACTACCGCGGGATCAGCCTTCTAAGCATAGGTTACAAGGTCTTATCGAGCGTATTGTGTGAAAGACTGAAGCCCGCCGTCAATGAATTTATTGGACCTTATCAGTGTGGCTTTAGAGCTGGCAAATCCACCATAGACCAGGTATTCACAATACGCCAAATCTTGGAAAAGACCCGCGAGAAAAGGATCGACACTCACCAACTATTTGTCGACTTTAAAGCCGCTTTTGACAGCACTAAAAGGAGTTGACTATACGCCGCTATGTCTGAATTTGGCATCCCCTAAAAACTCATACGGCTGTGTAAAATAACGTTGCGCAATACCACCAGCTCCGTCAGAATTGGGAAAGACCTCTGCGAGCCGTTCGCCACAAAACGGGGTTTCAGAAGATAATAAGAGCTGCAGAACTGAACCGCTCAGAACAATTTACTAAAAGAGCGTGCAATTGCTGGCTTATGCCGATGACATCGACATCAACGGCAACAAAAACTTCGAAGTCTGTTCTGCCTTTTCCAAGTTGGATATGGAAGCAAAGCGAATGGGTCTGGTGGTAAACGAGGACAAGACGAAGTATCTCCTTTCATCAAACAGACAGTCAGCACATTCGCGCCTTGGCACCCACGTCACTGTTGACAGTTACAATTTCGAGAAAGTAGAGAATTTCGTTTACTTGAACTTTGTTGCAAGTTCATATGGGAAATCTGCTTACGATGTGATTAGAGGAAATTTTAAAAGACTAGCAGCTGGGGCAAGTCTTTAACTCCTGATGTTACAACAAATTCGTACACCCGAAGCCCTCTGCCAATGGGATGCCTGTAAAAAATAACTGCAACTAACTTTTCAGTGGACTTTATTTCGACCATGACTACGTGCCAATTACTTAGGTCCTATTTTAAGCTAGTTTAAAAGGTTAAATAACATGAAGTTAGGGAACTTCATATCCTTATTTAATGAATCTTTAAATCAATAAATAATTTGTTTCCATTTAGTTCTTCTTGTAATAAAAGCATGTTGTTGGTTTTTTTAACTATAATTTTATTACTCATTGCGTTTATTTTTTTACACACCCTTCCTTTTTCTTGTTTTAATAAAAGGACTGACCTTGAAGCTGTCATTGGAGGTCTAATATTCTTTTGCAATGAGTGTTGTTCATTTTGATGTTGTTGATGTTTCGGTTTCGGGCTATCGCCAGAGGAAGCTGGCTGCACGAATCTTGCAAAGGTTCACCACAACGCCTGACCTGTGCAGCAAGGCGAAAGAAAAGCATGTGAAGAAAATCCTCATAGAAATAGACTGGGCCAAGGCGGTCCTGCTCGACTACCGCAAGCCGAGCAATAAGCGCAATAGGTCGGTGGAAATTTCCCAATAATGCAAAGAGGGACTGAACAAAGGGACCTTATTTTGCTGAAGTAGCCAAGGAGCTTGGCGTCATTTACGAAAGTTACGAGGATAGCCTTGTCCTGAGGCAACAATGGAAGTGGGTTAAGGCTGCGTTGACCGACATCGCAATTAGCATAATGCAAGGGAGCGGGGTGGTTCCAAAACAACATCCGAGTTATAGCATGCGAGGATGCAAGATCGGCAGAGATATATAAAAAGACAGTCGCAGGCATTTGCAAAGTCTAACCAGGTGCGAAGTTCTGGGAAGTCGACTTCAAGGACCTACCGGTACGCAAGAGCCAGGCTCTACCACCCGGAATTACCTACCGCGAATCGGAAGATGGTGAAAATGATTGAAAGCGGTAAAGCGAAGATGCTGGTTGTCCTGCTTCTAAATAAGGACTCCATTGGGATGCTGGAGCAAAAGAAAGGAGTCATACAGCAACGACGTCAATGCAGCAAAGAACCTTATTTTGGAGCCCAAGGAGGCCAACAGCGACGTGGAGATGGAGAAGTATTCCGAGCAGATTAATCCGATGGAGAACCTGACCGGGGGTCGGACGCATGCTTCGGCTCTGTATGGAGGGGGAGTTGATCGAGATGTCGGAAGACAGGGTTAACTCCACCTTAATAGGCGACGTGAGCGGTAGCAGTGAAGATGGTGAAAACAGCTTAAGCTGCATTGCTGCTCCGAATAACATGCAAAGGGACAGCCGATGTCATCTTAACCCAAGAACCATGAGTGCTGGGACAAAATATTTGTGAGGTGAAAGCGCCTGGCTACATGCTGGCAAGTGGAGCCCCAACGGGAAAACCAAGGACGTGTATCTTTGATAAGTACCATACTAAAGTGTATCTTTCTTCCATAATTTAGCGGTGAGAACACAACAGCGATCAGTCTAAGAATAAATGGGGGACTAATGAAGATGGCATCCATGTACATAGCGCACGACAAAGAGGTGCCAACAAGATGCATTAAAGAACTAGGGGCCAGCACGAGGGAGGCGCTAATCTTGGGAAGTGATGCGAATGCTCACCATCACACCTGGGGCAGCACCGATTATAATGAACGGGGTGAGTCACTTTTTGACTTCATACTTAGCTCTACGCTTATTATTACAAATAGGGGGAACGACCACTTTTAATTCAAAATCTTGAAGGGAAGTTCTGGACGTTACCCTTGCCTCTGTGAATGCGGAATGCTGATTGGGAAGTGGAGGGTGTTTGAGGAGCATTCCTTTTCCGACCACCGCTATATCCAACTCGAGGTAGTAGGGGTAGTGTCCAAGGTTCCTCTAACTAGAAATCTGCGTAATGCCAACTGGCATAAGAATCGGAAAGAGCTCGATAGGCTTTTTCCACAAGACAGCGAGTCAGTTACTCCAGCAAACCTAGAGAAGATGGAATGTCTGATCGACTATTTTACTGGTGGAATGAAGAAATACTGCATCTGGTAGTGAGGGACATTAGAATACCTACAAGGCAACGCTACGGGAGTACAAGAAGCTCATAAGAAGGTCGAACAGAACCATATGTAAAGACTTCTGCAATGGTGGTGGTGGGTGGAGTCTATCTCAGAGGGAGGAAGGCTCACGAAGATACTCTCAGGTGCTGCCTAGAACGCATCAGGAT